ATCACCAGAGATGGAAAATACTCCTCATTTAACAAATGGGGACAGTTTTTAAAAGCTCAAGCATGTAAAATTAGGCAGTGTCTGATATACAGCAAACATTCAATCAATGAATGAATATTATCATTTTTATAACTTACTAAAAAAGGTCTATTTGAATTTACTGTACAAACAATTGAACTTAAAACTTTCAATTATGATGAGCATATTGGTATGAAGACTACAAAGGACTCTGCTTTTTAAAAAAAAATTAGAATCATAGTAGTAATTTCCCCATATGGTTATCTAAATTTTTGAATGTGTGTGTGTGTGTGTGTGTGTATATATATATATATATATACATATATATATATATATATATATCACTCTTATATCCATTACAGACCATCCCCTTTGATCCTAGACCCTCTCTGCAATGATTTATGAGAGAATTTTCTCCATTTCTCCCTTTTGGTAGTTTCATAAAATTAGGCTTGCTTATTATACTCTTTACATCTTTTTTGGGTTTTTTTTTAGTTGAAACAAGCAACAGATTTTGGGTAGAGAAAAGGAGACAGAGGTGATGAGCTCCCCTCTAATGCCACTGACTATTCCGTAGGAGGCAGGAAATAGCCTGGGCCATTCCATTCATAGGGGAGGTTTTGTTCTTTTATTTTTTTATCTTTTGACACTTCCTTTTAAAAGGCGTGAATTATCCCTTCTAAAACTGATTACACTTTACACGTGTGCTCTAAAAATGTGACTCAATGTTACTCAAGTTTCTGAGAAGACTTACATGAAGAAAAGTTTTATAACTATAAGCACAGCTTACCACTCTTCTGAAGTGCTCAGTAAAAGTAGAGTCTTGTCAGAGAGGGTTTAGCTCAGTGGTAGCGTGTATACCTAGAATGCATGAGGTCCTGAGTTCAATCCCCAGTACCTCCATTAAAAATATAAATAAATAGAGGCTGACAAGGGACTAATTTCTAAAATATACAAACAGCTCATATACCTTAATATCAAAAAACCAAGCAACCTAATGAAAAAATAGGCAGAAGACCTACATAAACATTTCTCCAAAGAAGACATCCAGATGACCAACAGACACATGAAAACACGCTCAATATCGCTAATTATCAGAGAAATGCAAATCAAAACTACAATGAGGTATCACCACACACCAGTTAGAATGGCCATCATTAAAATGTCCACAAATGATAAATGCTGGAGAGGGTATGGAGAAAAGGGAATCCTCCTACACTGTTGGTGGGAATGTAAATTGGTGCAACCACTATGGAGGACAGTATGTAGAGTCCTTAAAAAAATAAAAATAGACTTACTGTATTATCCAGCAATCCCACTCCTGGGCATGTATCTGGAGAAAAACTCTAATTCAATAAGACACATGTATCCCAATGTTCATAGCAGCACTATTTACAATAGCCAAGACATAGAAACAACCCAAATGTCTATCAACAGATGATTGGATAAAGAAGATGTGGCATATATACATGTGTGTATATGTGTGTGTGTGTGTGTGTGTGTGTGTGTGTGTGTGTGTGTGTGTGTGTGTGTGTAGTGGAATACTACTCAGCCATAAATAAGAATGAAATAATGCCATGTGCAGCAACATGGATGGACCTGGAGATCATCATTCTAAGTGAAGTAAGCCAGAAAAAGAAAGAAAAATGACACATGATATTGCTTATATACAGAATCTAAAAAGAGGACACAAATGAACTTATCTGCAAAGCAGAAACAGACTCACAGACATAGAGAACAAACTTACGGTTATCAGGGGGTAAAGTGGGTAAGAAGGGATAAATTGGGAATTTGAAATTTGTACCTCTTGGGGAGTAATGGAAATGTTAGCTATCTTGATTGTGGTGGTGGTTTCATGGGTGTGTACATCTATCAAAATTCATCAAATTGTACATCTGAAATATGTGTAGTTTACTGGAACCATACCACAATAAAGGTGTTAAAAAAACTAAAATAAAAGAAATATATATATATAATATATATACATATATATATATATGTGAATAAACCTAATTACCTCCTCCTCCTCCTCAAAAAAAAATTAGGATCTTGGACTGGATGATCTTCACTGTCTCTGGCTATAATATTCTGTAATTCAACACATACTTATTGCTAGGTGCTGTGCATTGGGGAGAGCATGGAGAAATTAACACACCGGACATGATCTTGGCCATGGGGACAGCAAGACAGACAAGAGCATAAATATCAGACTGTCAGCAGCTTGAGGTCAAGCATTCTATCCTGTACACTGTTGTATTTTCATGGCCTGGCGAGGCCTAGCATAAGAAAAGTGTTCAATCAATAGTGTGAAGTAGTAATGGTGAACACAGGGTGCTATGGGACTTAGCCCAACCTGGAGATTTGGTGAAGATTCAACCAGCACACTCAGTTGCCCTCTGGCCATCATGCCATTGCTGCCAACTATAGCACTGAAAGTCCAGGAATAGCAGGGCTATTCAGTTTTTGAACTCACAGTCCTTTACTGTTTAAATAGGTAAGGTTACTTTCAAGGGAAGCTACCCCTATACTTGTTCCTGTAGTTATTCAATTTAAAGGGCCAGTGACCTGAGGCAAAACAATTTATTGGCAGGAGACAGAAACACGTGTAAGATCATCCAGTACAAAGAATTCTACACTAGAAACAGAATCATGGTTCTAATTTTAAACCAGAATCAAGTATTCCACAATACAATATCCTTCTCTTTTGGAATTCCCAGAAGAGTAGAAAAAATACTAAGTAGGCATCCAAATTTATATGACATATATACATATGATGGTTACACATTTTGTTTGTCATTTTCTAGGAGATCCAAACTCTCAAAGGATGCTCAAGGAGCCTTCCGAAGCAGGAATAATTGGAGCAAGAGTTCTATCATTTTCATTTACTAATTTGGAATTTTTCACCAACTCAATATTCTAATAGTTTCTCTAAAATAAATTGCTGTAAACTTTATTTTGTGCTTTTAAAAAATATGATATGCAAAGTAACAGCTCCATACATTTTAATATAGTTTTCAATCCCCTTGTGGACAAACAGTCACACTTTAGTGCCACTTAAATGAAGAATAACCACTCATCTGTAACATACAGATATAGAAGGCTCTGGATTTTCATTTTAAAGTGCTTAATTACCTGCATAAAGAGAGAAATAAAATAAAGAGTCCAGGCCAAGTTCATGAGGGTTTGAAATTACTTTTTTTTTTGCTAAATGAGCAACAAAGACGCCTCAATGTTGCATGCTGCTGTGTGGCCAGAAGCCAACTGTGGAATAAAATGTTAAAAACAACAAGGAGATCAGGAATTAAACTCAAATATTGAAGCAAGAACCAAAAATCACAAGTTGAAAAATGTAGGTGGTGTTTCCAGCCATAGGACAACAGAACAAAATTGAAAAAAAATCTAATCAGCAACAAAGTAAAATCCCCACGTTATATATTTCAGTGTGGGCAGTTATGTAATCCAAGGTTATTTTTGAGGATTTCCTGCCTCCAATCACCCACAAACTTATGTTTCCAGTATTCCTATTTATATCAGTACTTGGCCTCACTAAAGGACCACACAAAATACAGTGTAAACTCATGAACCAAAAAACTGAAAATGAAAAAATTGTTTTCACATAAATCTAAATGGCCATTCTCAAGTAATTCAAGTTCAGTACCATAACTCCCAAGTTAGGCAGGAAAGAAAGCATATCAAAGTAAAGGGCAGGAGATTTAACCTTGAAACAAGGTGACGGCCATGTAGTTGAAGGAATTTACTTATTATCAGATAAAGAATTTGCAGTATTTATTCCTTCTAGAGATATAAAATGGTGAATCAATCTGCAGTTCAAGATATTTACTTAAACCCAGAGGAGAAGGATATGGCTTTAACTTATGAAAACCAAAATAGAATAGAAAAAAAATCAGCTCTAATGTAGTTTATCTTTAGACACCAGCTTTAACATTAAACAACTCAAGCTAAATGTTGCTTCTCAAGCTTTCCTTTCATGTATTTCTGTAATTTACACAAATATACTGTATGTAAAACAGGGATGTAAAAACATTTATGTAGCAGGAAATGCTTAATGTTACACAGATAGCTACTAAAATTTATTTATTTGTTTGTTTGATGAAGGGGAGGTAATTAGGTTTATATTTATATTTATATTTGGAGGAGGTACCGGAGATTGAACCCAGGACCTCGTGCGTCCTAAGCATGGATTCTACCACTTGAACTATACCCTCACTTTTTGTTGTTGTTGTTGTTGTTGAGGGGGGAGGTAATTAGGTTTATTGATTGACAGATTTAAATGGAGGTACTGGAGATTGAACCCAAGACCTCAGGCATGCTAAGCATGCGCTCTACCACTTGAGCTATACTCCCCCCCCTACAATTTATTAAAATAGATCATCTACTGATCAATTGATCTATCCATCCATCGATGCATCCATTTTATTCTTCATAACCTTTCAGTTCACTGATATTATCCTCTGATTGCGCTGATTGCCCTTGAAAATGCATGTATCCCTTTGGAAAATATCACCCTCCACACACAAAGAGGAAAATAAAAATTTTGACCAGAAAAAATCTTCTGTTGATTATTTCCTTTAAACAGCTGGTTAGATAAGAAGATTCTTTGTTTTGTTTTATATCTAATCAAGCCTTATAAGACTTACCTTGTGTATCTTGTAGGCCTTCAAATGAAATCCTTTGAGAAACGCCATTTTTTTCCTGATAGAATTGTTTTCTTGCCCACTCTAGCTGGTTCAAAACATCATGAACTACAATGTACACGCTCATATGAAAACAGCCTAAACACAAATTCATCCAAACCATGTAAACAAGACTGGCAGGTTGACAACTAACCACATAGTAAACTGATAGATGGACAGACAGACAGACACACAGACACACACAGACACACAGACACACACACACACACACACACACACAGATAGAAACTAATAACTAAACAAAATACTTAAATAAATAAAGGATATCGTCATCTTTTCCACAAACTTATCATGTTGATTTTCTGTTTGGGGGAATCGCTTGATGTCACGTTCCAGATTAACAATCTGTTGTTCCATTGCGGCAAGGTTGCTCTTGAGAATTTGAGCTGAAACTAAAGAACAACATGCAAAGTGTTTAGAACATTTTACCAGGTATTCTCCAAAACAACTAAAAGAAAACAGTATCCATTAAACCTTTTTTTTTTTTAACGTGGAGAATAGTTCCATGAAGTCAACTCATTTTTCTGAATTACTGCTCATAAAAATTCTACTCTTCATAAAATAAGTGAAAATGTGTAAAATAATATACCAAATCATCATGTTTAATATGGGAATGTCACTATTTTATTCGGCCATTAGCTCAAATGAATCCATTTCTATTTAAATTTATTGATGGAATTCCTAATATTTCATTCTTTAAAATCTAATTTGAAGATTAAAGAGAAACTAAGGTTCAAAGAGATCTTATCTTATTAATGTGTGTTCTTGGCTATATAAATGATTTAAGGTTAAATTAAATAAAAGGATCAAATATTTTTCTTTTGTTGAAAGATCCTGATTTTTATAAACCAGTATCTACGGTAAAAGCTCCTGTCTTTAGTACTTTTTATACTCATAGAGACATGAAAAGTAACTGTTGATGCAGAGAATTTAAAGTAAACCACAGCGAACACATAGGCGCATATACACCCACAAAGCTTCAGTCAGCCCTCAAACACTATCATTAATTGCTTTAATTACCCCTAGCATTCTCTGCACTTCTCTTTTTCTCTCCTCATTGACAACCAATAATTTTAAGTATTGCATTCAAACTGATCCTAAATACATGCACACTTTCCAGATCTCTTATGATGCCTTCTTTTCACAGAGATACCTTTTTTTTTAAACTTATGCTGTTTTATAGATGCTTTATTACTGAATGACTGTCAATTATGCATGAAGAGCCTTTTATCAATATCAACGGCATTTGGCAGGGATCTAGTTGAAAAGACAAGGAAAGTATCAGAATTTCATAGGAAGCCTGTGACACTGATTTTTTTTTTAACTCCAGGCCTCTGAAACACAGTCCTTTTTATTAAAGGGCAGTGAAACAGAAATAGAATAATATTACAATTCTTTTTTTTTTAAAGTAAATTTCAGTCTCATTCAGAGGAATATCAGAATTACAGTGAAAAATTCAAGAGACTGATAAAATCAACCCCCTGGCAAATTTCAGCCAGTCTTCTGATACAAATTTATCACACTGACACGCACACACCTTTATAACTCAATGAGGAGAAATTGCCTTAAATATACATGGAAGTTCAAGAGACTAAAAATCAAACACCAACACTAAAGACAAATTATTTTTTTCCCTATTAATCTGTCAGTTCAAATGGCTATGTCCAATTTAGTTCCATTTGTTTAGATCTGACAAGTATGGAAATTATTCTTTATTGGAAAAGTCTAAGAGAGTTTTGTCTTGCCAAAAATTTGTTAATGGCTCAGAAATCATGGCTTGCTTTACTTAAAGGATGAGTTTGCTGTGGAGCACATCATTCTCTCTGACTTTAAAATTGAATTTTTCTCACTTGGGTTTTTCCAGTAGATTCTTGCTAATTATTCAAAAGGTTTCTCCTTTCCCATTTGCTTGATTGAAAAACCCAAGATAGGAAGTTGCCAAGAGGTTTACGTCATTTACGCTACACGGAAGAAATAAACTCACCATAACTTTCTGCAATAAACAAAATGTGCCCAGAGGCCAGGTTTAAGTCACAACAGTAATTCTCCTACTAAAAGCAACAGTAATTCCAGTAATAAAAAGGGGATGACGAGGAGGATTCTTTCGATTGTTCAATACAGAAACAGCCTAATCAAGTTGCTATGCATACAAACGTCTAGATAACTCAGATAACAAGAGACATTATTTCTAATCCAGTGAAATGGCTTTTACCCTAAAGTTGAATTCTGAATAAAACAATATTTTCTAGATATCTGTCCCCATCAATTTCACATCTCAAATCCTAGTCCGCTATAAATCCCTCTAGAGCTGTAGTCCAAATTCTCTCCCATTTATAGCCATTTCTGTTTGTTTAAGTCATCTTCCACATATCATCTTCTGCTTTAGGTGAGGATTATTTTTATTTCGTGTACATAAAAAGAGACTCCACTCTAAAACCTCAAGCTTACCTTGATGGTAAGATCCCTACCTGACACCTTGCTTTTCCCTCAGTACTTACCACACAATAAATGTTTGTTGAATGAATATGCATACTTCAAGAAGTTTCGATTCAAATTTAAATTTATGCCCACTTTTGCAACTGAATGTGGATGTAGACATTAGATACGACCTTGATGACTGAAAGCTAGTATATCAATTATTATGTGAATATGAAAAGGAAGCAGGAAGTTGAAGTCTGTCTAATAATATCAAGAGGAAGCAGGGTTACAAGAGATGCTTAGACAAAGGGGAAAGTGAGAAGCTGAGATAAGAGAAGTAAGGGACATCTTTTTGTCCTAGGCTTCTCTATTTTCCATCTCTAATAAATTATTAATATTATGAATGAACAAAACAAAATAAAATACTGGAGATGTAATAATCCAAGAATTTTTGCCCACATGCAAATTTATGGCTATATTATATAAAAAATACCATTATATCAAATATGTCTCCTTAAATTGGTGAAATTATGGTATCTTAGAGTTAGAAGTGACATTACAGGGGATCTGGATCAGCCTCTCAAGTTTGCAAAACTCAGGTTAATCAGTGTCATAGTCTATGTTCCTGGAAAACAGTCTAAGACAAAGCCTGCATGTTACAGCTTCACTAGGGTCTAATCCCAGGGCAACGGGCATAAGGGAAAAGAGAAGAAAGTAAACACAGGAGAGGAAGTTACTGAACTGGGCACAGCTTTCCAAAAACTACAGCTGGTCACTTAGTGTCTCAGGTTGTCTCCGTCAAGGCCAAGTCCCTAGGCAGGTGACCTGTGCAGTCACACAGGGCTCCATGTTTGAAGGGGTCTGCACTTTGTTTAATGCTTTGTTGTCATCATTTTGAAATCCTTAGTAATTTTTAAAATGGGGCTCCGCAATTTCATTTTGTACTGGGCCCCTCCCTGAATCACATGGTCAGTCCTGGTCTCCCCATAAGACAAATGAGGCAACTGCAACCCGAAAGAGTTGGTTTACAGGGAGTGAGCGGTTCACCTGCTGGCTCCTTCTCATCTCCCATTCTCTCACTGGTGATGTTCTGTTTCATGGAGTGTTAACTTGCAGGTCTGGCTGGGGAGCAAGACAAGTGGCCCAGGCTTGGATGTGGGACAGAACGGGTACCCAGGGAATCGATGGTGATGCAAACACTAGATCCAGAAGAAAGGGTTCACTCTCTCCCTAAGTGGTTTATTTCCTTTTTGACGGTTGATATAATTAAAAACAACTTTATTTACTTAAAATCAAAATCAGCCATCTTGAACTTCTCTTACCCGTGACTTCTCATTTTGCCTCACAGCAACACTGATCGAGCTCACTCCCTATTTTACAGGAAAGGTGTCACTCGCATCTTCTTAATCTGTCCAGGCACCAAACACCCTATTCCTTCAACTAGTCCCCGTAAGGTTCGTCTTTATTTAGTCTCTTAAGTAATAACTACATTCACTGAGTACTTACTATGGGCTAGACATTATTTTAAGTAGTTTTATGTATTAACTCATTTCACTCTCATAAAAACTCTATGAGGTATGTACTACTCTCAGAAAGCAGTGTGGTCTGAGCCAAATGATGTCTTCTAAGAAAATTATAAATATAAAGCAGTGTCTCTAGTTCCAGAAGGCCAACAAATTGAAGTAATTTCTGTACGCACTGGCACAAGGGTATGTCACTTATATTTGGGGACAGGCATGGTCTCAGGAGTCAGATGGACCTAGGCTGTAATCTCTACCACATCAACGACTAGTTGGGTTACATTAAGCCAATCACGTAGCCTCTCTGGGTCCTTATATCCCAATTGGCAAAGTAAAGAGAATAATATCTTCCTTAAAGGGTAGTCATTCAACTGAAATGATTCGATAAAGTGTCTATCATTATAACAGGTACGTAATAGGTAATCTATAAATATTCATTTCATATTCCACTATCCTTCCCACTATACCTTATCTTCCAGAGGACCGATTCCTACTGTAACCGTGCCATTGAAAATTAAACAACAATTTAGATGTAATCTGAACAACAAAAAAGGGACTCATTCCCTACCTGCTACCTCATTATGGCCTGATTTAATACGGGTCTTCTTTCTAATCAAGAGAACTAAGCTTAGATTGTGTTCTCTGTTTGTAGGTTTTACAAGGTACATGCAATTTTAGGTCTGGGAGGCAGTGACAATTATACTAATGAACAGCCAATTTGTTAGAGAGAGCCAAATCTGAAGAATATTTCTGGAAATAAAAACCCGTGCAGTAGTCTGTATTTCTCTGGAGACATTTAAAAGTTAGTTACTTTGCTTTTGAAGACATGTCTGAAAGATAACACATTTCTTTCTAAAGTGTTAAAAAGAATTAACACATGTGTTTACCGGCCTGATTGTTTGCCTTGAATACATTTGCTTCAGTCTAAAGAATTGGGAGACAATGTTCATTATGCAACTAATTAACTAATTAGGTCTCAGCCTACATTACTTCTAATATATCTTCAGGGTGTATGTGTATGTGTGTATGTGTGTAAGTGTGTGTGAGAGGGAGGGGAGGAGGAGGGGAGATAAGGAGAGGAGGGAGAGAGAGAGAGAAAGAGAGAGAAACTACATGTATTTTTTTTTTTTACTGGAGGTGGTGGGGAGATGTGGGGTGCCTCGAGTTCCAAGAACATTTAAATACCAGAGTGGATTAGAAATGCTTGTCTCCTGCATAGCGTCAGCCTCAGGGTATATTTCTGTGCCTGTCATTATAGTAGTTCACTAATATAAATTAAGGAGTCTTTAATGACAGTGCAAACATTTTCTATCTGAGTAAATTCCCACTATAGGCATTTTCAATGACTGATTAGTCAGTCTGGTGGCACTTTAATTTTTTTTTCTCTCATTTCATTTTTTAAATCTGCTACTGAATTACTGACTCTGAATTATAACACTAAAAAAATTAAATTA